GTGGGGAAATGGTATAGTGGAAACTGATGGGATTGAAGGCTGATATCCCCAGGGCTTGATAATTTACATCTCAGAGTACTCAAGGAAGTGGCTCTAAAAACAGTGGCTGCAATGAGTGTTCTGAAGAAGGGTCTAGGCCCGAAACGTCAGCCTTCCTGCTCCTCTGATGCTGCTTGGCCTGCTGTGTTCATGCAGCTCTACACCTTGTTATCTCAGATTCTCCAACATCTGCAGTTCCTACTATCTCGGCTGCAATGAGTGGTCATTTTTCAAGATTCTATAGGCTCTGGAACAGTTCCTATAGATTGGAGGATAGCAAATATCAATCTACGATTTATAAAAGGAGGTAGACAGGAACTATACATCAGTTAGCCCGATATCAGTAATGAGGAAATTGCTGGAGTCCATTATAAAAGATTTAATAGCAGAGCACTTGGAAAACAGGGACAAGACAGGATAGAGTCAGCATGGATTTATGAATGATGATGCATGAAGGTTGAAATACAATGTGGATAAATGTGAGGCTATCTACTTTTGCAGCAAAAACAGAGGCAGATTATCTGAATGGTGATGGATTGAGAAAGAGGGAGGTGCAACAAGATCTAGATGCCCTTGTACACCAAGCAGTGGAGAAAGTAAACAGTCTGTTAGCCTTCATAGTGAGACGACTCAAGTACAGGAGCAGGGATGTCTTGCTGCAATTGTACAAAGCCTTGATGAGACCACAACTGGAATATCGTGTGCAGTTTGGTCTCCTTATCTGGCTCGGGAAGGAGGGCAACACAGGTTTACCAGATTAGTTCCTGGGATGGCAGGACTGATGTATGAACGGAGACAGGATCAATTGGGGTTACATTCACTGGAGTTTAGAAAAATAAAGTCCGGGTGAATCTCGTAGAAAACTGTAAGATTTTAAGAAGACTAGGTTGGGTAAACAGAGGATGTCTCGATGACCAGTCCCGAACCAGGGGTCACAGTCTAAGGACATAGGTAATCCATTTTGGACTGAGATAAAGACTAGTGAGCAATCTCTGCCTCTGGCTCAAAGGTAGCAGACAGAGGGTGGTGGTGGAGGTTGCTTTTCAGACTGGAGACATGTGACCAGCAGCATGCCACAAGGATCGGTGCTGGGTCCGCTGCTTTTTGTCGTTTAGATATATGATTTGGATGTGAACATAGGAGGTACAGTTAGTAAATTTGCAGATGACACCAGAATTGGAGGTGTTGTGGACAGCGAAGAAGGTTACCTCTGAGTATGTGGAGATAGTAGAAACTACCGATGTTGGAGAATCTGAGATAACAAAGTGTAGAGCTGGATGAGCACAGCAGGCCAAGCAGCATCAGAGGAGCAGGAAAGCTGACGTTTCAGGTCTGGACCCTTCTTCAGAAGTCTACACCTTGTTACCTCAGAGCATTATGTGATCTTGATCAGATGGGCCAATGTGGTGAGGAGTGGCAGATGGAGTTTAATTTAGATAAATATGAGGTGTTGCATTTTGGAAAGGCACATCAGGGTAGGAATTATACACTTAAAGGTAATGTTCTGGGCAGTGCTTCTGAACAAAGACTCCTTGGAGTGCAGGTTCATAGTTCCTTGAAAGTGGAGTCCCAGGTAGACTGGATAGTGAAGGCGGCATTTAGTATACTTGCCTTTATTGGCCAGTGCATTGAGTATAGGAGTTGAGAAGTCATGTTGCGGCTGTACAGGTCATTGGTTAGGCAACTTTTGGAATACTGTGTGCAATTCTGGACTCCCTGCTATTAGAAGGCTATTGTGAAACTAGAAAGGGTTTAGAAAAGATTTACAAGGATGTTGCCAGTGTTGGAGGGTTTCAGCTGTAGGGAGGGGCTGAATAGGGTGGAGCTATTTCCCTGGAGCATTGGAGGCTGAGGGGTGACCTTATAGAGGTTTATAAAAACATGAGGGGCATGCATAGGGTGGGGGTATCGAAAACTAGAGGGCTTAGGTTTAAGGTGAAAAGGGAAAGATTTAAAAGGGACCTAAGGGGTAATTTTTTCAAGTAGGGAGTGGGTGCGTGTATGGAATGAGCTATCAGAGAAGGTAGTAGAGGCTGGTTCAATAACAACATTTAAAAGGCACCTGGATGGGTATATGGATAGAAAGAGTTTAGAGGGATAAGGGCCAAATGCTGGTACAGTGGCTCAGTGGTTAGCACTGCTGCCTCACAGTGCCAGGAATCCGGGTTCGATTCTACCCACGGGTGACTATCTGTGTGGAGTTTGCACATTGTCTCTGTATCTGCATGGGTTTCCTCCGGGTGCTCCGCTTTCCTCCCACAGTCCAAAGATGTGCAGGCTAGGTGAACTGGCCATGCTAAATTGCCCGTAGCGTTCAGGGATGTGTAGATTAGGTGGGTTATAGGCAGATGGGTCTGGGTGGGATGCTCTGAGGGTCGGTGTGGACTTGTTGGGTCGAAGGGCCTGTTTCCACACTCTGGGGATTCAATGATCATCATTAATTTAGCATATCTGATCAGCATGGACGAGTTGGACCAAAGGGTCTGCTTCTGTGCTGTACATCTCTATGCCTCTAAAGAGAAAAGCCCTAGCTCTCTCAACCTTTCCTCATAAGACCTTCCCTCCATTCCAGGTAACATCCCGGTAAATCTCCTCTGTACCTTTTCCAACGCTTCCACATCTTTCCTGTAACGAACTGGACCAGAACTGGACACAATACTCCAGATGTGGCCGAACCAGACTTTTGTATAGCTAGCATAACTTCATGGCTCT